TGAGTTTTACAGGCAGCGATCCACGAGTTTCACAATCCTCCTGAGGACGATCGAGCGACCGGCACGTTCTGATAAAACTTCTATTATTTATACAACAAGCAAAACAAAACGCTCTTTTACAGAGCGGCTGGGATCGACAAACTCCAAGGACAGTCCAGACCACTTTTCAGTTATCTCACCTTTCACATATTAAAGCTGGGGTACCTAACTTTCTAAACACAAGTAAAAGAGCTGTCTAATAACCACTGTGTTTCTGTCTCTGTTTTCACATGTGTTATTTTTGTCTTTCACTTGTTTTGATCAGATTCTTCAGATTGAAAAGGGAATAAAGAGAGGACCACCTTCACTATGCAGCCCAAAGAGTCAAAAACCGACTCTCAGGGATCTTTTGTATATATGCAAATTATAACTTGGTTTCTAACACTATGAATACAGAATGTTGTGGTCTGATTTGTTCACATTTATCTGATTTTTAGATTATGACTTTTTCTGTTGAGGCCAGTGGGGGGCGGGTCCCGGCCCAAAAGGGTCCGTGAGCACGTGCGCTGACATGACTGTAAATAATAACAAACTTAGTGACGCCTATCTCCGCAGTTGAAACTAATGTACCACCACTTTTGCCTTCTGTGGCTTTTTCAAATGGCCGTGGGGCAGGAAAATGTGAAAAACCGCATCTGCGCATGAGTTAGCTGCATGAGCCCCATTCATTTAACGAGTGAATTCAGAAGTCCACAGCGGCTAAACTAGATTGGTCCAAAAAAATACTCTTCTCAGCATCGACAGCATCTGGAATGTAGCTTTGGACCAAGAGTCACTTTTGGACCATACAAAAGCATTGGGTAATTCTCTTTCCGGGTACACCCCCACCGGACCTTTTGGAGCTGGGACTCGCCCCCACAGGTCCATCCACGTCCTTCAGCAGTGGTCCTGAGCTTTAGGTTAATTGATTGTAAATTACAATGTTTTCATTACTGCAGAAGGATATTTGTTTCAATAACTTTTTTTTCCTGTTAAATTTCTCATCAGGCAATTAATCAAACATGAAGCGTTAACTCTACAATATGAAAATGACAACTAAAGGGGGAAGGAGGAAGACATACTGCTGCACCTGGCGCCCCCTGCAGGTGAAAGCCAGATCCCGTCAGAACTCTGAAGCTAAGCAGGGCAGGGAACTGGTTAGTGCTGTGATGGGAGACCCCTGGGAACACCAGGTGCCACAGTGGGGCGGCTGCGGCTGTAAAGGGCCAAACTGTCGGTGTGTCCTTAGGCATGAGTCTGGTGTGTGTGTGAATAATGACATTTGAAGAGACTTTGCGTGTCCTGAAAAGCGCTGTATAAAACCAATGCATTATTTTTTTCACTAAACTTTCTTTGTCCTTTAAAACTGATCATTCAAACGCAGTAAGTCACCTTCTTTAAAACTCTGTAATCCTTCCCCACGTTCTGCTCTCACGTACTCTCACACTGTTATACGTTTGCTATAATCTTGCAGCATTATCACAGAGTGGAGCAGAGTCGAAATGTGAATGTGTGCCTTTTTAAAAACCCAAAAATAACCTGTGTTCGAGGGAGTCATCCGCAGGAGGCTCCAGACACAGACAGATCACTGCTCACACGCCGAAGAATCACTCCATCAGGAGAAAGAGACAAGAATGACTCATCCATTTGGAAGAAAGGATCATTTGGTAGTGGACTATTGTAATGAAAAGCAATTATGTTTTATACTTATGACTTTTGGAAACGTCGTGAGACTTAGATTAGATCAGAAAAGACCAAAGAAAGCAGATGTTGGAAATGACTCAAACACAACATTTTAAAAAAGTGTAGTTTTTAGGAATCTGTGAAATGTCACGCTGACTTTCACAGGAGTTTACTTTTCAAAGCATAGACGTGCCTTCTCTACATTTCAGTGTCTGTCGTTCTGCTGCGATGGAAAAACCAGGTGGAAGTGGGCGGAGCTTTGATGCTAACGAGTTTTATAACCAGCACTAAGAAGACGTTAGCATCACATGTTTACAGTCACAGGAGAAACTCAGGGTGAAGACTTATGTTTACAAGGTTTAGTCTTGGTTTAGTCCTGGTTTAGTCCTGGTTTAGTCCTGGTTTAACCCTGGTTTAATCCTAGTTTAGCCCTGGTTTAATCCTAGTTTAGTCCTGGTGTAATCCTAGTTTAGTCCTGGTTTAATCCTGGTTTAATCCTAGTTTAGTCCTGGTTTAATCCTAGTTTAGCCCTGGTTTAATCCTAGTTTAGCCCTGGTTTAATCCTGGTTTAATCCTAGTTTAGCCCTGGTTTAATCCTAGTTTATCCCTGGTTTAATCCTAGTTTAGTCCTGGTTTAATCCTAGTTTAGTCCTGGTTTATTCCTAGTTTATCCCTGGTTTAATCCTAGTTTAGTCCTGGTTTAATCCTAGTTTAGTCCTGGTTTAATCCCTGTGTAGCTCATTTGTTGTTTTTTTCTAGTTAAACTGTATTTTAACTGTAATTAAAAGTCACCTTTTTACTTGTATGTAAGGCGACCTTGAGTGTCAAGAAAGTAAATGTATTTGTATTATTTTTATTATTATCAATTATTATTATTATAATATTATTATTATTATTATTATTATCACGAAGGTCGCCGACATCACAGGTTGAAGTGGACTCTCTCTCTTCTTTTTCGGTCCAGCTGCCACATCCTGCACCTTCACTTTTACTACAACACTACTTTTAATTCCTTCTATTCAGAAATAACAACCTTCTGCATCTTAACTTTCACTTTCTGAAGTGGTTTTTAATTTAGCAACAGAGAGAATCCAAATTTAGTTTAGCGGGTTCAGGAGGTGTTAGCATTGTCCATCTGTGCACACGCGAAGCCAAAACATAACATCTCTGTGCGAGAAGTCTAATGCCCAAAATTGAAAACTGTTTTGTGAATCTGGCCTTGATAAAGATTACTTTCTTACTTACCATAAACATTAGTATGCCCAGTTATGGCTCTGCGACCCTCTTCACGACCAGGACCAGGACATTACGACCACCCCCCTCCCCTAGCATTATAGCACCTTAGTTCCTACTATGTTTTTAATATTTTAGTACTATTCTCTTTCTTTTCTTCCTCCCCTCTCTCAATAAAAGAAAACCATCAACACCCTCAGATACCTGTTCAATACACCAAAAGTCAACACACACATACACACACACACACACACACACACCCCCTCCTGACCCTATGTAAATGCTTATTTGATTATATATGTACAAATGTGTCTGAATGCCCGTGTTGAAAGAACAGGGACAAATGCCAAGCTTGTATTCGTTATGATTTGATAATTACCGCTCACAGCTCATGTTCATAGTTGTTGCGATATGTTGTGTTTTTACAGCTGTGAGCCGTAATGATCATGAGTCATAGATTAGAGGAATTACACAAGTTAATGGCCACTTGAACAATAATCTAATTTCCCGAGATTCACCTGCAAAAACAAACTGTGCTCAGAACCAAGATTCATTTAGTTTATTTTCATTTTCCTGAAGAAGGCACTCGGCCACTTCCAATAAAAGTGTGTTTGCCAAAAAAGGAGGTGTGCGGGATTCTTCTTCTCTCGTTTCTTTGGATTAATTTTGTTTCTTGTTTGTGGAGTTTGTTCTTGTCCAATGATCGAATAGGATGAATAAAAGTTATTTTTTCGATATCTTGATTAGTGAAAGTCTGCATAGGTTTCCTCCGGGTGCACCGGTTCCCATTATCCTTACAATCATTGTAGAATAAGTGAAACAAAACCCACACAGAAACACATACAGAGAGACGCACAAACACAGAAACACACCCACACACAGAGAGACGCACAAACACAGAAACACACACAGAGAGACGCACAAACACAGAAACACATACACACACAGAGAGACGCACAAACACAGAAACACACACACACACAGAGAGACGCACAAACACAGAAAAACAAACACACACACACAGAGATACGCACAAACACAGAAACACATAAACACACACACAGAGACGCACAAACACAGAAACACACACACACACACAGAGAGACACAGAAACACATACACACACACACACACACACACACACAGAAACATATACAAACACACACACACACAGAGAGACGCAAACACAGAAACACATACATATACATGCAGAAGGACATACACACACACACAACACAAACACATACTCACACAAATATACATGGACTGACAGACATACACACAGAGACACAGAAAACCATACACACACACACACACACATAAACACTTACACACACACATATACACAGACTGACAGACATACACACGCAGAGACACAGAAAACCATACACACACACACACACACAGAGAGAGAGACACACAAACACAAACACACACACAGAGAGACACAGACACACAGAGAGACACACAAACACATACACACACAGAGACACACAAACACATACACAAACACAGAGAGACACACAAACACAGAGACACACACACACACAAACACACACAGACACATAAACGCATACACACACACAAACACACACACATAGAGCCACACAAACTCGAGCTCTGTTTGGTCAAATGTATAAAAACCTCGATCCCTGAACTTTCGGGACCAAACACAAAAATCCGATAAAACGCACAACAATCGCAGCTCAATCTCAGCCACGGTTTTGAACCTGCACCTTCCTTGACTTCATAATTCCCGCTGTCGTCTCCATAATCGGCGCCCGTCTCCTCCACCTGGGCCCGGTATTCCCATTCATCAGAGCGCGTCCTTGGGCTCCTGGTTATTAGCGCCGCGGAGGAGAGAAAGCCTCATCATCGCATCATCATAACGGTGTCATCCTTGGACTTCATCAGCCGTAATTACTCTAATTTGTCACCGGCGAAGGAGAGAGAGAGCGCCCCGTGGACAAGCTTCCTGCGCAACACAACGCCTCCGACAAAAGCCAAGACAACAGAACAAAACGCCGCTGACAGGAGCAAAGAGGTCATTTATTATAGACGCGGCGATGATGGGAATTAGGCTCGGAGGACGGGACGGCTTCATCAGGACGGCTTCATCAGGACGGGACGGCTTCATCAGGACGGCCTCATCAGGACGGGACGGCTTCATCAGGACGGCCTCATCAGGACGGCCTCATCAGGACGGCTTCATCAGGACGGGACGGCTTCATCAGGACGGGACGGCTTCATCAGGACGGGACGGCTTCATCAGGACGGGACGGCTTCATCAGGACGGCTTCATCAGGACGGCTTCATCAGGACGGCTTCATCAGGACGGCTTCATCAGGACGGCTTCATCAGGACGGGACGGCTTCATCAGGACGGCTTCATCAGGACGGCTTCATCAGGACGGCTTCATCAGGACGGCTTCATCAGGACGGCTTCATCAGGACGGGACGGCTTCATCAGGACGGCCTCATCAGGACGGCCTCATCAGGACGGCCTCATCAGGACGGCCTCATCAGGACGGCTTCATCAGGACGGGACGGCTTCATCAGGACGGGACGGCTTCATCAGGACGGGACGGCTTCATCAGGACGGCCTCATCAGGACGACCTCATCAGGACGGGACGGCTTCATCAGGACGGGACGGCTTCATCAGGACGGCTTCATCAGGACGGCTTCATCAGGACGGCTTCATCAGGACGGGACGGCTTCATCAGGACGGCCTCATCAGGACGGCTTCATCAGGACGGGACGGCTTCATCAGGACGGCTTCATCAGGACGGGACGGCTTCATCAGGACGGCTTCATCAGGACGGCTTCATCAGGACGGGACGGCTTCATCAGGACGGCCTCATCAGGACGGCCTCATCAGGACGGCTTCATCAGGACGGGACGGCTTCATCAGGACGGCCTCATCAGGACGGCTTCATCAGGACGGGACGGCTTCATCAGGACGGCTTCATCAGGACGGGACGGCTTCATCAGGACGGCCTCATCAGGACGACCTCATCAGGACGGGACGGCTTCATCAGGACGGGACGGCTTCATCAGGACGGCTTCATCAGGACGGCTTCATCAGGACGGCTTCATCAGGACGGCTTCATCAGGACGGCCTCATCAGGACGCTTCATCAGGACGGCTTCATCAGGACGGCTTCATCAGGACGGGACGGCTTCATCAGGACGGGACGGCTTCATCAGGACGGGACGGCTTCATCAGGACGGCCTCATCAGGACGGCCTCATCAGGACGGCCTCATCAGGACGGGACGGCTTCATCAGGACCTTAATTGAGTTTGTGGTCTTGAGCAGTTAAAGGTTTTGTCTCTGAGGAGAAGTGGGATCACAGCAGCTTTTCACACAGAGAGGTGGAGGAGTTTTGTTAGAGACACAGGTACACAGGTACACATAGACACAGGTACACATAGACACAGGTACACATAGACACAGGTACACATAGACACAGGTACACATAGACACAGGTACACATAGACACAGGTACACATAGACACAGGTACACATAGACACAGGTACACATAGACACAGGTACACATAGACACAGGTACACATAGACACAGGTACACATAGACACAGGTACACATAGACACAGGTACATACAGACACAGGTACATACAGACAGAGGTACATACCAGAGGTGGGACAAAGTCATTGTTTAGCAAGTCACAAGTCAGTCTCAATTCATTGCCCTCAAGTCCCGAGTCAAGTCACGAGTCAAGACAGGCAAGTCCCGAGTCGAGTCCAAGTCAAAGGCCAACAAATCTCAAGTCAGTCCCAAGTCCTACGGTTTGACTTTCGAGTCCTCTCGAGTCTTTTTGACCGCGATTTGTTTCTTGTTGGTCTCCACCTACTTTTGTAGGCAAACAAAATAATGTTAGGAATCATTTTGCTGGTGCATTCTCGTTGGTCTCTGACCCATGGACTAACAGTTTGTTCCATGTCGTTGGCTGCTGATAAATCAAAACTATCTACGTGATCTAATTGGATGTTGTGCCAGATGCAGGCTCAGTTACACATGCACAGACCACACATAAAATCAGAGCAGTCCATGTCAACATACTTTTTATCTTTGGGGTTTTTAATGGGAAGTAGCAAGTGCAGCATATATGAATATGAGTATTGGGCTAGGACCTGTATCTATATAATCAGTTTAATGTCCGTAGTGGTTATTGTTCCAAAGGACTGAAGGGACCAATGGAGGGGAAGGAACCTGGCCTGTATGAACTGGGCCAGCATTAGTAATATCTCATAATTACCAATATATCATTACATAATAAAATGTCTCATATAAATTAATTCAATCAGTCAAAGCACTGATTCTCATATCAATGCACCATAAACAATAGTGCAAATATTAATCTAGCTTAGTGCACATAATCAAAACAACTATCTAATGTATGCAAACTTTAGCAGGAGGAGCACAGCAAAAACATACTCATAATAATAGGCCTCGGCGCCCACACAGAAAAATATAAGAAATAGCTAACAGAGCAGCGCAGGCTAGCGCTAGTTTGACTCACCAGTTCCTCTTTAAAACACGCCACAGAGTGTGACAACTGCGTCGATTCAATTGTATGAGGCGCCTGTAGTGAAAGCATATCAATTACGGTTTGTAGAACAAAATATGACGTTAGGTTGCGATAAATACCTGCAGCTCGCTTATTTCCAGCTCCCCTACGACAACACACCCACCGGTGAATGCAGTCCGCTTGTTTAGGGAAGTGTTGCTGCGCGAACTGCGGGGAACTCACGTTCGAACTCTCGCGCGAGCGCTACAACTACCGCGAGGCTTTGTTTCTTCAGAGACGGCATAGATAGAAAGAGAGATGCGGAGAAAGGTAAAAATGGCCCGGGTTACGCAAGTCTTTGCAAGTCAATTTGCAAGTCCAAGTGAAAGTCAGAGTCATTGATGTTAAAGTCCAAGTCGAGTTGCAAGTCTTTTTATATTTGGTCAAGTCGAGTCTAAAGTCATCAAAATCATGACTCGAGTCTGACTCGAGTCCAAGTCACATGACTCGAGTCCACACCTCTGGTTACGCACCACACAAACCATCATCCGAGACTAGACCACCGACTGGTTTTAAACCTTTCACTTGAGCCTTGCTGCCCCTCCTGGCCTGTCTCTTTTTGACTCTCCTGACAGCTCGAGCATAGGAGATATTCTCAGTCTTTTGAATTGTCTCCACTTTGGGCTTTGACATATACCCCACATCCCCTGTACGCCGCCACATGGTTGCCCCACAATTACGCACCTACTTCACTGTTTGTTGCACTCTGAATAATCATGACCTTCACCGCATTTCCACACCTATTCTCCCCTCTACACACTGCAGCGACATTGCCCAAATCTCTGACATTTTTAGCAACGCCAAAGGCGGGCGCACCTATGGTTTCAAACCATGAAATGCCCTAACCCAAGAGTAACTCTCTGCGGCATGACCTCTTCTGCCAAACAAAATGAGCACAGCAGTGCTGTCCCTCTCTTCTCCCTGTTCCTGGTTTTTGAACCTCTTTACTCCCAAAACTTCCCCCCCCTTTCAGGTTTTTAAAAATGTCATCTTCTGACGAGACATCTGGGTCATATAATCGAACCCCTTTCGCTCCTGGTCCAGAAAGTAGATTGACCTGGCACCAAGCCGTGTCAGCCGTTATCCAGCTCTTTATCAGGAGTGCCTTCTTCCTCTGGCTTCGGTTTTAACATAAGAAAACACATTCCCCTTAGACACAGATTTTGGATGCAAGATTTCTCCAATTTTGTCACGATCTTGAGGCTAAGGCTCTAAGAGGGTTGGGGACTTTTTTCCATTTGTCTTCTTGAAATTTAGGATTATTTTAAAGGGCCTTCATTTCATTCTCAGCCCGCCTCACCTTTGGCTACTTCTCTCTCACGGCTCCACTACTACCAGACCTGGTTCGTTTTCCCCCCTCTTTTCCCTCCACCCCCGAACCACCCCATTAAGGCCCCTGTCCACACGCAGTCAAGCTCCAGGCCTAAACGCAAAAAATACTTAATCAATCCAGTGTATCGTCCATACGCGGCCGGCGTTTTGGGGGGTGTAAAAAACGAACATTTTTGAAAGTAGGTCCCAGAGTGGAAAGATTTCAAAACTCCGTATATGCCGCTCCGTGGTTACTGCCTCTCCGCACAATGTATCTGAGACGCTTGCGTCATCGCCCCGCCTCTTGTTCAAAAGCACGCATGCGCCGCACTCAGAAAATAATGACAACAAACAATGTAGCTTGTTGGTTTTGTAATCCAGTGCGACCCGAAGCAAACTGTTCAACCTCATCGTCCGTCCATACTAATGTAGTACCAGCTCGCCCCACTCGCCATGTTGTTGTTTACAAAACTTGCCGCGCCTCATGCCCACGAACGTTTGGGCTTGATCCCGTCATTGGTTCACAGCCCACCAACAGGTCTGGCATAGCTTCACAGCGTTTTCAGGCGTATTGACTACATTCATTGGGACGCACACCATTTACTGCGCTAACTCCGTGTTTACAGAAAAAGTTTCTGATGAAATTATCAGCCGTTTTAGTCTTCGTGTGGATATACCTAAAAGGTCTTCCCATGCGCAAGGGAGAGACACCACCAAGAAAAGTGCAGTACGTTAAAGTCAATGTGCCACAGGGGAAAAAGTACAAAAGGAGCCAACTTAAAGTTGGCGCCAGTTTAATTTCACCCGCCCGGAGACGTCAACCGCTAACCCGCCTGTCACTCCGATCGTGCGCACGCACGTAGCAGCCACCTGCACCAGCCAGCCGTCAATCGAGCCGCCCCACTTTGCTCGACCCTTTTTTTGCATTTCTGGTTTACTTCTGTCTTTGTATTTCCATTTCCGGTTGCGTATAAACAAGCCGAGTTTTCTGGCTTGAATATGTCTCGGTATGGCTGCATTCGGCAACATCTCTGGACAGAAGTTGAGCTATACACAATTCCTGATCCAACTACCATAACGATGTGGGATGCCAAACATTCAACAACAAAAAATGTTTGTGATTTGTTGACTCCATGGCTGTGGATGGAAATGCATCTAGCACCTGGCCCTTCATCCTAGTCACAAAGTGTTACTTATACAGGCGCCACGGCCCTCTCCTTTTATGGTGCTCGCAGTATGTTCAATCATGTCTTAACAGTTTTTCACAAACCTTAGGAGGAGGGCAAGCACGATTTGCGATCACGGCAATTTCCGGTGACTCGCGTGACTCAGGCGCTCGGAGTCGCGGCTCACGCTCAGCATTTCAGGGGTTCGTGGCTCACGGTTATCAATTACACTTTTTAGGGGGTATCTGTGGATTCTCCTGACCCATTGTGGCTCTGGAGGCTATATTTACACGTAACAAGTTTGTTACACACTCTTCTCATCTGGTTATGTGTTTATTAGCTTCCATGTTCGTTAACCCTGCTCCGGCTGTGAGTCGCGGAGCTCGCAGTCAGGGACGTCGAGGCTCACAGTTTAAAAATCATTACCACAAATCTATTGCTTTTTAGGGTTTCTGGGAATTTTCTATTGAGACAATAGGATCTGGAGGCATAGTTTACATGTAATCAGATGTTAACACTCTTCATCAGGTGGTATTGTTTGTATAGCTCTCTATGAACTGTTCACCACTGACTCAACAGCTCCTGAGACGCGGCTTCAGGAGCTGTGCATAGTCGCGGCTTAGCAGTCAGACAAAGTCCTAGTCACGGATTAAAATCCCACAAATCTGTGCTTTTTAGGGGTATCTGGGAATTATCGGGGCAACAGTGATCAATGGCAGAGCTTTTGGTTTTGTACCTAATGATCGTGGGGTCGTTGCACCCACACCCACCTGTCCCATGAAGCAAAGACGCGCCCATCGATGGTATCTTATATACAGTCATGGGAACATTCATGACTGAGTATGAGCACAAAGTATGTGGAACGGCACAAAACTAAATAATGGTATAGGTGCTCCTTAGTAAAATAAACAGACTCAGTATTAGCAGCGCAGGTTTTACAGTCATAGTGCAAGTGGTTGAATAGTGATACAGGCCTAACTCCAGATAATTACCTGTATTTGCAGGGGCTATTTCATATTCTAAAGAAAAATACTTTTGGAGGAGTATTTATGATTATTAATGTATCTGGATGAAACATTTTCCATGTCCTCAGTGCCACTCATACTACTTACCGCTTGATAATGTGTTATTATTACTCTATTGTGAACAAGTGACTTAGAGACAATAAGTCAGGGCTCGTCTTCTGACACCAGGGTGCGCTGTCTCATCTCTGTTGAATCATGCAACGAACGTTGGACATCTCGCTGGCAATTTAATTTCACCAAAATATAGCGGAAGGTTATTTTGTTTCGTGTTTTGGAATCTGTCTTTTAATCATTTTCACATTTTAAAGGAAGGGCAAGAAATTTCACAGGAAAAAAAAAAAAAACTTGTGTCAAATTCCTTGGTTGTAATTTGTGGACTTCAAAGAATACACAAAACTTGCAGATAAGAGCAGAGTGTAATCCATAGGGACAACAAAAGATGAGGCAAGGTGTATAAACACGGTTCTTGGTCACATAGAAAATAAACTAATAAACAACCACATGCGACCCTTATTCATTGTTATTTATTAATAATGCTAAAGGATTTGCCAAAATCATCCAATACAACAACCACCAACACAGCTTAAAAAGCCACTGTCCCTATTTGTCCTTGATAGTAATATAAATGTGGATGGACAAGTGAGCCCAGAACCCAGAGTAGAGAGTTCTTTGTCTTTAGACCCCCAAAACAAGCATCAGGGCATTTACATTTCCGGGCATTTTAATTCTACAAACACTGCTTATTGTTAACTTTAGCGGATCGTGTTGTGAGGTGGACTATTATTGTAATATCGAGAATTAAAGAGAAAGGACCCTACTGACATACTTTTATCTGCTTGTTTACGAACACACGATGTTCAACACTACCGAATTCAAGTAACTTTCTGTTGTGGTGACTGTTTGAAGATGTTCTTGAGCCCTTTGGTGGCCCAGTGGCTGTAAGATGCCTGCCTGGCACCTGTACTTTACCTCATCAACTGCTCCGTGATCATCTGAATCAAATGTGTTTAGGGTTTCCAAACGTGTGCTCCATATACCTTTAAACAACTGATCCTGGCGCATTATACAGGATACAACTGCAGTTGGAAATACAGGTGTCTGCTGCAGCCATCACGACATGTTTTCCTCCTTAATGCCTCTTTTCTCTCAATTTCTTTTCTGATGCAAAAATTACGTTGTAGTTAACCGGTAATTCTTGAATTACAGAACTACTGAAGACGCCCATCAAGATGAGCCACACCAGCAAGAGACGGCACAACAAACTTTCTAAACAAATGCACTTTTACTTCACTTCTTAGAATAGACCAATTACTAAAGAATAATAGATTTGGTTTAGGTTTGATACATTTTCAGTTTTGCACTTGGCTGTAGCGAAATACATATGGCACACAATGCACTCTACCCACTGCCCATTAGTTCCACATGAGCTGTTATTAAACTTTGTCTCCAATACAGGACATTTTCAGCTCAGTCATGAATAGCAGCAGAGTGGTGCCGCACCTACTGGAAGGACAAGTTGAGTACCGTGCTAATGAATAGACTACGCCCACACCTGTCAAAAAGTGTTGCTGCGGTTCGAAGTAGTCATTCTGCGGCAGCAGGGGCCAGAGGCTCCTGTTTTGGGCGTGTCGTGACGTCGGCGTGTAAATATGCCTCCAAGATCCATATAGTTCATTAGAACTTCCCAGATACCCTACAAAAGCAAAAATATGCTGTCTTTTAACTGTGAGCCCCGACTCACAGCTCTTCTGGAGCCGCGACTCACGGCTACTGAGCCGCGACTCAAGCTCCTGAGCCGCGACTCCCCGCTCCTGCAGCCGGACACACAGCTCCTGAGCCGCGACTCACAGCTCCTGAGCCTGCGCGACTCACAGCTCCTGAGCCGCGACTCACAGCTCCTTGAGCCGCGATCAAGCTCTGCCTGAGTCAGTGGTTAACCGAACCAGGCGAGCTATATAAACACATACCAGATGATTGTACGAGTGTTGTAAACATCAGTGTTACTTGTACTATATGCCTCCAGATCACAATGTGTCATTGATAATCAACAGATCAATTACCCCTAAAAAGCTAAAATTGCTAACCGTGAGGCCACAACTTTCTGGCTTGCTGAGTCGCGGCTCACCAGCGCGCTGGAGTCAGTGGTAAACGGACATGGGATGTATACCAACACATACTAGCTGATGTATTGTAGAGTTGTCTAACCTCCTGATTACTTGTAACATGCACTCCAGATCATATTGTCTCATTGATCATTCCCAGATACCCCTGGAGAAGCAAAGATTGTGTTATTTTTTAACGGTGCGTCACGATTCTGGCTGCTGAGTCGCGGCTCACCGCGCCTGCGTCAGCCGAGGTCACCGGAAGTTGCCGTGAGTCGCACATAGAGTTGCCCTTTGCTGGAACCTTAGGAAACCATGGTACCCGAGGGTCCAAGTTAATAACATAAGGCATATGGTAACCAAGTAAGCGTTTGTTTGCACTACTGTAGGTGTATGATCGATTTCTAATTTTTAAAGTTTGAGGTCTACCACAGTGAACTTTCGCGAAGAGCTTCATCACTAATTTTTGAAAAAGAAACCGTTGCACAAAACACATCTAGAGTTTCTATTGCACTCAGCCTTCTATTGCACACGGCCCACTATTGGTCTTTGTCTCACGTGTCTCCGTCGCACGTGTCTCTGTCGCAAGTGTCTCCGTCGCACGTGTCTCTGTCGCACGTGTCTCTGTCGCACGTGTCTCCGTCGCACGTGTCTCTGTCGCACGTGTCTCTGTCGCACGTGTCTTTGTCTCTGTCTCACGTGTCTTTGTCTCACGTGTCTCCGTCGCACGTGTCTCCGTCGCACGTGTCTTTGTCTCACGTGGCTTTGTCTCACGCGTCTCCGTCGCACGTGTCTCCGTCGCACGTGTCTCCGTCGCACGTGTCTCTGTCTCACGTGTCTTTGTCTCACGTGTCTCCGTTGCACGTGTCTCGATTGCACGTTTCTCTGTCACACGTGTCTCTTTCACACGTGTCTCCGTCGCACGTGTCTTTGTCTCTGTCGCACGTGTCTCTGTCGCACGTGTCTTTGTCTCCGTCGCACGTGTCTCTGTCGCACGTGTCTCTGTCGCTCTGTTTACTCTGTCGCTCTGTTTACTTTCTCTCCTCCTTTGGCGTTGAGCGAGCGCTACTGTAAACATATAGGATTTCAATGTTTTCCCGACGCTCCAGTCCACTGGCAGTAGTTAGCGAGGAAAGAGAGTCCCCGGGGTCCACCTGGTGTGTTCAGGCTCTGCACATAACGTCTGTATGGAATAGATATTTGTGTGTTTGCTTTTTTTTATTCTTGGCGAGGCAAGACAAGGACGTTCCTGTACAGCTTTCTCTTCCAGTGCCTATTTCTATGGTTTCAAATTGCTGTGTTTTTCCAACTAACGATTACAAATAGCCAAATCAATTGCTTTGCTTTTCGTCAGTGGCCTTTTTATCTGTGAATAAACTGTGAGAGAACGATGTGATTTGGACTGTGCTGAAGGTTTTAAAGAGTTATTGATTTGAAAGTATAGGAGCAAAATAACAAGCAATCTGCGACAACAGATGTTTACAATGTGTTGTATAATACTGATAATAATACAAATGTTTAATGTAGTTCTTTTCAGGACACTCAAAGTCTCTTCAAATCATTATTCTTTCTCTCCAAACACGGCGGTGATAATAAACTTCTACTGTAGCCACAGCTGCCCTGGGCCACACTGGCAGAAGCGAGGCAACCAGTCTGTGCCAAGAGCCCCTCCCACCACCACCAACCATTCACACACACACCAGACTCTTTCTAATGTGCCTGCCCCTTTCTTAATTCAATTTTTTTTGTTCTTATTTTTTATTCTATATATTTTTCTGTGTTTTTGCTCTTAAACATGTGGAAAATTGCAGTTTTATTTCACATTCAAGTTTCAAGGAGACTTTATTTGCTCCCGTGGGTAAATTCCTTTTTCACTTAAAAAGACACTTAGAATCAATAATAAAAAAAAAAATCATCATATAATCACGTTTACAAAAACACAAATAACAATAAAAACACATTAACTACATTTAATGAATATAACATTTCTTTCAAACAGTCGAACAGAGACATCGGAGCTGACGTTATGAAGTGGTTCTGCCACCGCTGATGTGGAAATGTGTTTCTTCGGATGCATTGTTTTTGTCACACATTTTCACACTTTTGTCAAATGTCACCGGAGCTCGAGGTTTTTCTGTTGCTACAGTTTTGATCTGACCTCCCCCAAAAGCACCACCTCCGCTCACAGATGTCAGCCAGAGCAGAGGTGTTGCTGCTGCAGCCAAGCCGTCTTTCACACACTGCTCTCACATCGGCAGGTAGTTAGAGAGACAGAGAGTGACAGAGAGAGTGTGGGGAGGGGAGCAGAAAGAGCGAGGCCAGCGAGTCCGCGGCTTCAAAATCCCAAAGTCAGTTAGTGCAGCTTTAATTACATATATCCTCCAGTTTATGCATAGGCCCATTTTAAGGCAACACAAATCAGGGTTTTTCTTACACAACCTCAATCTCAAAATACAGAGACATTGAATGAGTTCCATCTTTCTGAAAATACCATCATGTCTGTGGACTATAAACTGCAGATGCTGATGCTCCTGGTGTCTGGTCTAATCTGTGATGTGTGTTGTGGACAGTGGAATGTGGGATTATCCACTGGATTTATCAATAATCAGTGGTGTACGGCAAAGATTAGCGCAGTGTGGAGCCCGGGTCCAGGCGGCGTTTTGGGAATGGGCAGAGGACGGGCGCAGTGCCGCTTAGATCCCCCGCCTCCAGGCAACACACACACACACACACACACTAACATACACACATACACATAGATATACACAGATACACACACAGAGGAAGGGCGCAGGGCTTGGATCTCCCGCCTCCAGGAAACACACACACAGACACGCACACACACATTCATACAGACACACACACACACACACACACACAGAGGACGCAGCTATCTACAGTCACCACTGTTAAAAAAAACAGTGTACTTTACTGTTTCTTTTCTTGTCCCATTGTTTTTTCTTCTTGTCATTGGAAGTAACAGGAAGTCAGAAACTAGAATTAGAATTTTGTGTGTTTTTCACTTAATAAAACAAGAAACCCAACGGTAATGAGCAGCTGCAGAGGTCTAACCAATGGCTGCACGGATTAACACTAAAGATTAAACACTTCTTTCTTCATCAGTTTCTAGTTTGTGGAAAAATTCAACAGAACTATTGAAAATGTTTGCTGCATAAATCTGAAGTGCCGTCTTCATGTTTGGGAAGCCAGAGAGAAAAGGGGCTTTAAATGAAATGACTGGAGCCGTCAAAATGACTGCTGATGGGAGACCTGGTAACAGGACCAAAACACTTAATAAAACTTGTTCTTTTTGCAGCGCTGCAGAAGCCGCATCAGCTTTAGGCAAACAGCACATTCATACAGAGCTCACACTATCCACTCACACCACATCTTTCTTCGTCTCCCCCATTCTCTCCGCTATCTCTCTCCCGTCTCACCCCATCTCTCTCCCTGCTCTCCCTCATCTCTCTCCCGTCTATCCTCCATCTCTCTCCCGTCTATCCCCCATCTCTCTCCCGTCTATCCTCCATCTCTCTCCCGTCTATCCCTCATCTCTCTCCCGTCTATCCTCCATCTCTCTCCCGTCTATCCTCCATCTCTCTCCCGTCTATCCCCCATCTCTCTCCCTGCTCTCCCTCATCTCTCTCCCGTCTATCCTCCATCTCTCTCCCGTCTATCCTCCATCTCTCTCCCGTCTATCCTCCATCTCTCTCCCGTCTATCCTCCATCTCTCTCCCGTCTATCCTCCATCTCTCTCCCATCTCTTTCCCGTCTATCCCTCATCTCTCTCCCGTCTATCCTCCATCTCTCTCCCGTCTATCCCCCATCTCTCTCCCTGCTCTACCTCATCTCTCTCCCGTCTATCCTCCATCTCTCTCCCGTCTATCCTCCATCTCTCTCCCGTCTCTCTCCCATCTCTTTCCCGTCTATCCTCCATCTCTCTCCCGTCTCTCTCCCATCTCTCTCCCGTCTATCCTCCATCTCTCTCCCGTCTCTCTCCTGTCTATCTTCCATCTCTCTCCCGTCTCTCTCCTGTATATCCCCCATCTCTCTCCTGTCTATCCCCCATCTCTCTCCCGTCTCTCTCCCATCTCTCTCCCGTCTATCCTCCATCTCTCTCCCGTCTATCCTCCATCTCTCTCCCTGCTCTCCCTCATCTCTCTCCCGTCTCTGTCCCATCTTTCTCCCATCTCTCTCCCTGCTATCCCCCATCTCTCTCCCGTCTATCCCCCATCTCTCTCCCGTCTATCCCCCATCTCTCTCCCGTCTATCCCCCATCTCTCTCCCGTCTATCCCCCATCTCTCTCCCGTCTATCCTCCATCTCTCTCCCGTCTATCCCCCATCTCTCTCCCGTCTATCCCCCATCTCTCTCCCGTCTATCCTCCATCTCTCTCCCGTCTATCCCCCATCTCTCTCCCGTCTATCCCCCATCTCTCTCCCGTCTATCCTCCATCTCTCTCCCGTCTATCCCCCATCTCTCTCCCGTCTATCCTCCATCTCTCTCCCTGCTCTCCCTCATCTCTCTCCCGTCTATCCTCCATCTCTCTCCCGTCTATCCCCCATCTCTCTCCCGTCCCCCATCTCTCTCCCGTCTATCCTCCATCTCTCTCCCGTCTATCCTCCATCTCTCTCCCTGCTCTCCCTCATCTCTCTCCCGTCTATCCTCCATCTCTCTCCCGTCTATCCCCCATCTCTCTCCCGTCTATCCTCCATCTCTCTCCCTGCTCTCCCTCATCTCTCTCCCTGCTCTCCCTCATCTCTCTCCCTGCTCTCCCTCATCTCTCTCCCGTCTATCCTCCATCTCTCTCCCTGCTCTCCCTCATCTCTCTCCCGTCTATCCTCCATCTCTCTCCCTGCTCTCCCTCATCTCTCTCCCGTCTCTGTCCCATCTCTCTCCCGTCCCTCCCCTGTCTCTCCCCCATCTCTCCTCCATCCTGTGCTCATCACAACTGTTGCTGATCAGCAGACATGTCTGAGTTAGAGCTGAGTTCATGCTACGGTATGACCAGGCTAGTTTTTACTCTTTTGAGTTTTCATAACATGTCATTTCTACTCTGTACTATTATTCTAAGATCTAAGTAAGTAGTAGTAAGTAATGTTTATTTATAAACCGCCTTTCACAGACCAGAGTCACAAAGCGGTCACTCCACACAGAGATGGGAGCGCGGCCAGTACAGGAGGCACAGACCCATTGTACATGTTTTAGTGGTAGGGGAAACCGCTGGACCCAGAGGAAACCTACGCAGACACAGGGAGAACATGCAAACCCCACTCAGAAAGGCCCCGACCGGGATTCGAATCCAGGACCTTCTTTCTGAGAGGCACGAGTGATAACCACTCAGCCACCATGCCACCAAAATCTAAAACAGGATGTATCCAAGTAAATGCACGTAAGATATTTATATATTTATTATTCATTTCACCGTCACAGTTGCTCTTATCATAAAAAGAATTACCTACAAAAGCAAACAACAATTTTGCCTAAAAGGGAATGAGAAGATGGGAATTTATTTAATCCCACGTTTTCCATATACACAATGGCTTCTCTGCTACTGCAAACTTAAACATTAATGAAGCAAAAAATACCCAGAGAGAAAGAATTCATATATGATTCTATTCCCCCAGAACTTAAAAAAAAATGTCCAGCCCGGCAGTATTTACACTCTGCTTCTTGGTGGGGAATATTTCCATAATAATCTGTACAGAGTGAGTGGATGCATATCTTCTGGGTGTAATCTAATTCTGTGGGAGACGGGGCAATCTATAGAGCAATTATGTTCCAAACAAAACCCCGTTATTGCATTATTGTGCTGGCGCGGCGTCCGGCGAGATGATTCTCTGTGAATTAATTGGACGATGGGCGAGCGGAGAGGGAGGACGCCTGACGCCTGTAAATAGGTAGGTTTCTCCACTTTTAGTAATTAATCTGGACTGGGTTATTTAAAGCATTCTCATTATTATCGGTGCGCAAGGTCGGCACTAACGAAGCTCAGAGTGACCGGGGCTGAAACCTCCGCGTCCGGCCATGATGGGTCTAATCATTTCTCCCATTAGGATTCAACAGCTCAGGTTTTAGCTAATGGACAAAGTTTGGGCTATTCTAGGACCGGGTCGTCGTGGAGGGTACAGCTCTCTGGATCGTACTGCATGCTCTGGATTGGAAGCGTTAGTGGTTAGTCTGAGAAAGATTCAGAAAACTTTTGTACCAAGAAAAGGAAGAACATTTGGAGTTGCATATTTAAGATAAGACGAGAGAACCGTTATAAACAATCATGAAATCTCTCTTTGATTCATGTGTTGACATCTTTCCTGAGATACGATTATCTAATTCAGTCCCATTGGAGAGTTGTGGTCCTGTTGTGTTCCTGTTGTGGTTCTGTTGTGATCCTGTTGTGGTCTTGTTGTGGTCCTGTTGTGGTCCTGTTGTGGCTCTGTTGTGTTCCTGTTGTGGTCCTGTTGTGGTCCTGTTGTGGCTCTGTTGTGTTCCTGTTGTGGTCCTGTTGTGGTCCTGTTGTGGCTCTGTTGTGTTCCTGTTGTGGTTCTGTTGTGGTCCTGTTGTGGTCCTGTTGTGTTCCTGTTGTGGTTCTGTTGTGGTCCTGTTGTGTTCCTGTTGTGGCTCTGTTGTGGTCCTGTTGTGTTCCTGTTGTGGTTCTGTTGTGGTCCTGTTGTGGTCCTGTTGTGGCTCTGTTGTGGTCCTGTTGTGGTCCTGTTGTGGTTCTGTTGTGGTCCTGTTGTGGTCCTGTTGTGGTTCTGTTGTGGTCCTGTTGTGGTCCTGTTGTGGTCCTGTTGTGGTTCTGTTGTGGTTCTGTTGTGGTCCTGTTGTGGTCCTGTTGTGGCTCTGTTGTGGTCCTGTTGTGGTTCTGTGTTGGTCCTGTTGTAGTCCTGTTGTGGTCCTGTTGTGGTCCTGTTGTGGTCCTGTTGTGGTTCTGGTGTGGTTCTGGTGGATCCGTCCTGTGCGACCGCAGAGTTTAGGTTCAGAAACACAAAGCCTCATTTCCTGGTTCCACCTCAGTTACCTCAGAGTCTCCTGAGATTCCCCGAGGGCGACTTTAGCACGTTTAAAACTCCTCCTCACGACCTCTCTTCTGTGTTCACCGCGTGGAGAGGACGCTCTGTAAAAATGCGCTATATAAATAAAGATGTCTTACTCTCCTTGCCTCAGCTCCATACTGCCCTCTTCTGGCCCTACAGACAGATTGCTGAAATATCAGATTGCAAATGGACGCCGTAAAAGCACAGTGTCTGCTCTCTCCAACACCGGACATTGATTTCTGAAAACATATACAACATTTATAATCGAACTGACAAAACTTTAACAAACCGGACGTGCATCTTGTGGCGTCGGTGGAAATGTGGGATCGTTATCTGCTTTTTCACATTAGAACGTCAAGATTCATTTCTCCTTGTCATCTTTGAGCGGTGCATAATTGTCACCACCTGCCAAGTGCCGGACCACTTCATAAGCCCTTTGTTCACAGTGGACGCTCCGTCTCTTTTACGCATGAATATGATTAAAATAGAGTTAAAAATGTTTGAATTCACAGTGTTACAGTAATGAAATGAAAAACCACACTGCAAAAAGTCTTTAGATCAGCTTTGTCTGTGAAAAGGAGAATCCAGGGCTCACTCAGCCATTCAGCTCTCAGTATGTTACAGATACAACGGCAATGGTTTTTAATAAAAGACAGAGCATGTTGTGGTCTCATTTGTTCACAAGATCTTGCTCTAGAGGCGCTGCACAGACGTTTCCAGGCTATGAACCGAAACGACCAGGCTCCTTATGCAAATTTCACAGCGTTCATACGAGGATCAAAAACGATGTAGTTCTAGCGCCCGGCCAGTAGGGGGCAGAGGAACTTTACAACACGACACACGCGAGCCCCAGCCCCCCCCCGGCAGTATACTCACTTCCTCTGCAAGACGTAAAAGAACCAACATCATTCTTTAACAGCAGCTGTGAAAATGGAAACTGAAACTAGAGCTTTGCGTGGTCTCGTTTGGACAAACAAAAGAGTAGAATCCTCTTCCGTTAGCGCTCGAAGCCCGTGTAGCTAGTTAGCTACCCGCCGCCATTGTTGTTTACGTTTGTTCTGCTGCGCAAGTCCAAATGTACGTGCGGGGAGCAGCGGGAGGTGGGGGTCGGATCAGGCAGCAGAGAATTCACGCATTTTTCTTCTTACGGGTGTGAAAGAGCGCCCCCTGCTGAGCATCTGAGCTGTCCCACTCTGAGGCTGGATCTGAACTCTTACGTTTTCACCAGGAACAGTCTCCGTATGAACAAGGGGTAGCAACCGACACAAACTGTAGTGTTTTACTGCTGCATTGTCTTTGTATAAAACAGGGCCTGAGACTCTTTCTTTTGGGACAAACACAAATGCGAGATTTAAGAAACAAAGAAAAACAGTTGGTACAATTGAGAAAAATATGCAATTTCCCGAGAAAAATTGCTTTTAGATTTGTCTGTTTCATTATTAGGTTTTATATAGACTGAGTTCTTTCTGACCACTTTCTTTGCAAAAGGCACAAGCTTTTCTCATGAGGTTCTGAGGAAATGTCGAAGTGTTGGTTTTAAAGGACTATTTTGGTGAAATAGTCCAAATTGCAGTCTTTGAGATTTTCCATTTTCTTCTGAACATTTGTTGCCAATGACAAAGATGCTCCGGCTTTGACTTGACGCCAAATTAACACAGAAAAAAAATGCTATTTCCTGAGAAACATTTAAATTTTTTATTAGATTTATGTTGTATTGGTTTCATTCAGACCATGCTCTTTCGAACCAGTTTGCAAAGATGACAGAAATATGGTCTGAGTTGTTGACAGTTATGGTTTTAAAAGTAGTTTTTGTGTGGGATTTAAAATAAAATGCAGCCTTTGAGATTTTCTTTTTGCTTCTGGACAAATGTTGCCATAATACTTGTGTTGCTGGAGAGTGGGTCCTATCAGTGTCGGTGTCGGCCTCCGGTGGGCTCAGGGCTCACGTCTCGGGTGGTCCCTGCTGCGTGGAGGTTGTTATAGCGGCCTCCTGCTGACAGGTCAGGCTCATGTTCCTCCAAACAAGGTGACTTTGAGGTAAACCAGCATTTGTACCACCTCCGAGAGTAATGTGTGGAAATGCAGCCGAGCGAAAGCAGCGAGAAAATAGATCAAATGACCTCCTGCTGCTGCTCCTCGGACTGCGGATCTGAATAAAGAACAGGCTCTGACGGAGTTGACAAAGTGGATTCTTATTGATATGTAATGCCAAGAATAACTTGTTTTAAAACAAATTGTGAACATGAACAAGACAAATCTATGGAAATACTGTGTGTTACAGCTGTGGTTTTTACTTTTGAACACGCTGGAAAACTGCAGCAAGTCCTAAGTACAGTGTTTATGGTTTTACACTGGTCCAGACCAGAGCAGAGAGGATTCATGGTTTTACACTGGTCCAGACCAGAGCAGAGAGGATTCATGGTTTTACACTGGTCCAGACCAGAGCAGAGAGGATTCATGGTTTTACACTGGTCCAGACCAGAGCAGAGAGGATTCATGGTTTTACACTGGTCCAGACCAGAGCAGAGAGGATTCATGGTCCGAACCAAGCTGAATTAGACTAATGTTGATGCTCTGAGTCCGAAAATGGTTTTGCTCAAATGTTTTTTTTTAAATCGATTTTGCGTAAAAAACACATTTCTGCGGATCATCAGCTGAGAAACCCTTGACGTTTTTTCAAGAAATAAAAGTCAACGTATCCAAAGTCATTCAGTTTTTATTTACTCCATCAAATTTGATAAGCAGAATTGATAATAACGTAGACGTACGTAATCCGTAACACTATGGCTGTATCTCAAAAAGTTGACCTGATAGAGACAAATGCATGTGATATTCAGACTCAGAACACCAACATTAGTCTGAATCAGGTGAGAAACCCCTGAGCATTTTTTGGCTGTCAACTTGTGTAATAATACATTTCCAAAACGTCCAGAGGCAAAATACTCTTTACTTTTTTCTTTATTTTTAGAGCTGCCGACCTTCAGTTTATCCCACACCTCTAACATTAAGATAAGATAAGAAAAGATAGACATTATTGATCTCACGCTGGAGAAATGTACGATTCACACTTACTTTACAATCACTCTCCTTTTCCCAATATTTCATCACTTTTTAGGACTTCACATTTCTCACAGTTTTTGTTTTCCTTCTGTGAGAGGAGTTTGAAGTTTGCGTTGTGTTTGGAGGAGCTCTTGTTTCCCGCTCGGCCGCATCAAATCCGATCACGGCTGTGAGTGCGTGAAGTCAAAGGGACATGATGGATGATTGAGGTTTTAACAAGCGCCAAAGCTGATGCCCGCAGCACCAGCACTTTAGACCCTGCTGCAATCAGAACACAGGGATTAATGAAGGAGAACATTTGAAAACTTGACTCTGAGGAGCACAGGGACTGGCCTCCTGCTGGGACTCTGAGGAGCACAGGGACTGGCCTCCTGCTGGGACTCTGAGGAGCACAGGGACTGACCTCCTGCTGGGACTCTGAGGAGCACAGGGACTGGCCTCCTGCTGGGACTCTGAGGAGCACAGGGACTGGCCTCCTGCTGGGACTGTGAGGAGCACAGGTACTGGCCTCCTGCTGGGACTCTGAGGAGCACAGGGACTGGCCTCCTGCTGGGACTCTGAGGAGCACAGGGACTGGCCTCCTGCTGGGACTCTGAGGAGCACAGGGACTGGCCTCCTGCTGGGACTCTGAGGAGCACAGGGACTGGCCTCCTGCTGGGACTCTGAGGAGCACAGGGACTGGTCAGGACTAAACATGATTTTGTTATAGCTATTTTTTTTAATACACTGCATGTGGACGGAATGCTTCCGGTAAGCAGTACTGCAGGGCTGCTCTGTGCACCTTTTTAGTAAACTTTTAACAACTTTTTAGCGCGTTTTTATTGTTCAGTTTTTTAATATATCTGAGTGTTTTATGTTATTAATTCAGTGGTTTCAGCAAATAGCGCTTAGTCCCGACTGAAACCCACTAGTAGCACAGAAGCTAACACAAGCTAACGAGGACATGGAAAGTGACAATGAAATTGGCTCAAACATGCACAATATTAGTCGCCTCACCTTGGAGCTCCGTGAGAGCGACCGTGCCACCATTGCAGAACTACGAAAAGAAGTCCTTCGTCTCACCGCAGAGTTGAATGAGAAACAATCTCTAGTGTCCAAACTTTTTGAAGTCGCTGGTGGGCAGCATTCACGGCTTATGTCACTGAGTGCTGCATATTGTGACACTGTCGTGTGGGAGAGATCCGTCAGCTCCGGACCCTCCTGTTCTACACCTAAGCACCCGGTTCCGAACAACGAGCCCGCGGATTCCGAGGAGCCATCCTGCGCCGTGGCCCATGTCCTTAGTCTGGCAAACCGCTATGCAGCCCTCTCCACTGACATCCCGGCCCCCTCAGCAGAATCCCTGGACACTGCAGCGTACTCTACTGCTCGAGGATCCAAGTCCACTGCGAGGAAAACGCTCCTAAAGGAAGCAGTCCTCAGGCGAAAGAGCGGTCCACCAGCCATGTTGGCCTGTTCCCCTTCTTTGACCCCAGTGCAGCAGCCTCAGACTGGGGTAGCGAGCCATCATTACCATCGCTCACCTCCACCGGGTCAGCAGCAGCGCCCAGAGCCAGCCCCTCTCACCGCTCCAGCGTCCCCGAGCACACAGCGTGGGTCGCCTGTAGCTGAGAGTCAGCACCCCCGCTCCTCCTCTCCATGTGTTCAGCGGCGCTCAGGCTCGGGTCCTGCTTCGGGTGAACCCGCTGGTTCCGTCCACCGAGCTCCTTCTCCGAGGCCACTCTTCGCCCCGACCACTCTGATTATTGGAGATTCCATCGTGAGACACGTCCGCTTCTTCAACGCGGTCACTCGCTGTATTCCCGGAGCTACTGTACCAGACCTGCTCATACGTCTCCCTCCTCTGCTTCAGTCCCTGCCTGATACCGTTTCCAAGGTAGTCGTGCATGTGGGAATTAACGACATGAAACTTCAGCAGTCAGAAGTCACTAAGAAACATTTTATGGATCTGTTCCACCTCCTTCAATCCACGGGATTATCTGTTTTTATCTCTGGTCCAATCCCGACTGTAAACAGAGGTGACTGCCTCTACAGTCGTGTTGTGGCGCTGCATATGTGGATCCAGGCTACATGCAGCTCTTTTAACTTTGTCTTTGTGAATAACTTTGCCCTTTTCTGGAAACGTAACGAAGCCTATCGTCCAGACGGATTACACCCAAACAGATACGGTAGCAGCCTGTTGATGGGCTACATGCGTCATGTTGTTCAGCGTTCCCCGAGGGGGGCGTGACTGTTTACATCTGAGCCCCCTCGGACCCCACCGCACTCCCCCGCCTCCTGCTCACCAGCACCGGGTGAGTACAACGGTGCAAACACTGCTCCCTGTCCGTCTGGCAGTGCATTACCAGTCCAAACACTGAACTGTGCTGACTCCCTTCTGACTCTGGGAGCTAAAGAACAACAAGGGTTTTCACATTTTAGTCCAATTGAGACTGTGTGTGTTCCTCGCACCAGCTCAAAAATGTTTTTAAATTCTAAAAAACGAAATCAAAACAGGACAGCAGTTAGACGGTCCAACTCTGCAAATCTAATTTCTGTTCCCTGTAGAAATCAATCAACCACATGAATCGACTCTGACGTTATTTTTAAACTTGCTATGCTTAATGTCAGATCTCTATGTAACAAATCATTTTTAATTAATAATTTTATCACTTCTTATGATCTTGATTTTATGCTTATGGCTGAAACATGGCTGGACCAAAATACAGGAAATGCAGTTCTAATAGAAGCAACACCACCCAATTTTAAATTCGAATCCGAAGTACGAGAAAACAAAAGGGGGGGAGGCATAGCTGCAGTTTTTAGAGAGCACTTTGTCTCCCATAGAATGCCCCTTGGAAATTTTTCATCGTTTGAGTATATTTCTTTTAAAATGGAACAAAAGCAATCTTCTACTCTTTTCATTGTCCTGTACAGGCCACCACAGTCATGTTGCGATTTTATTGACCATTTTACTGAACTACTTTCATTCGTGTGCACAGATTTTGATAGTTTAGTTATTACAGGTGATTTTAATGTACATGTTGATAATGTTGATGACAGAAATGCAAAGGAGCTGGCTTCTGTACTTGAGACCTTTGGTTTCATTCAGCACGTGAGTGGCCCCACCCACAGCAGGGGGCACACTCTTGACCTGCTAATTACAAAGGGGGTTAATGTATCAAATGTTAATGTAGTTGATGTTGCTTTGTCAGATCATTTCTGTGTATTTTTTGACATGTGTTTTGCTAGCAAACCACCAGCTGAATTTACAATTGCTAGAAGAAGACGCATACATGAAAACACAGGTGAACTGTTCATGGGAATGCTAAATTTTGAGAAAACTCCATGCTCTACTGTTGATGAATTGTATAACTCTGTCACCACCAGTGTTCTGAATGTTCTGGACGCCATTGCTCCTGTGACGGTTAAAATAGTTACCAGTAAGAAAAAGGCCCCATGGACTAAGGCAGACTCGGTCAGGGCACAGAAGCAAGAGTGCCGGAGGGCCGAACGGAAGTGGCGAAAGTCCAATTTCCAGGGCGATTATGAAATCTTTAAAGATGAGTTGGGTGAATTTAACCGGGTTCTACGAAGAACAAGAGAAATGTATTTTTCTGACATTATTGGAGGTTGCAGTAACAATTTTCGTGTTATGTTTTCAACAGTTGGTAGATTAACGAACCCCCCTGTAAAGTTGCCCCTAGAATTTTCCTCTAAATCTAGGTGTAATGAGTTCGCACAGTTTTTTGATGACAAAGTACAAGGAATCAAAAACACTATCACCTCCACAGCACGTATAACAATGCAACAGCCAGAGAAGCTTTTTGAGCTAACTCACTTTGCACCTGTGGATACTGAAACTGTCAAAAAGATAATCATGAGTCTGAGCTCCTCCACATGTAGCCTGGATATATTGCCCTCTAAATTTCTGAAGTCCGTCCTGAGCAGTTTGTTACCTTCACTGACACA